TTAGATTCCCAGCCTGGAGTTCAGGTTTTTCTGTAACCTTTTTGGCTGACTGGCTAAGAGTTCTCAGAGCTGTGTAGGCTCTTGGTGGCCGAGCTGTGAGAACAGAAGGGGAAGGAAGCGTTGCTCAGTTCACATTCGCAGGAAGAAGTTTCCAGCATGACCCCTCAGCAGAGCCGCGAGAGGCTTGCTGCAGGGAATCCCAGCGCGCTTGCAGGAGGAATTCGATTTTCCATCCAAGAACAAATAACTGAAACGCCATTGAACAGGTGCTAGTGTCAACTGGCCCCCAGAGCGCAGCTGCTGCCAGAAAGCAACAGATGCTGCTTTACATGAGCATTCATAATCTGCAATGTTCTCCATTAGGAGCTGGGGCACGTGGGAGCGTGGCCTTGGGAATGGAATCACGACTGAGGATCTGGACTAGTGCTGGTCTGTCTCCGTGACTTGTAAGCGGCATGTTCACACGCTGAAGGCACCAGCAGTGCTGTACAGGCTTCATCTGAAGAGAGCACCGGGCACCAAAGTATGCTGTCAAGAGCCACGTTCTTCGGTGCCCGGGGGGGCAGCAGCAGCCTAATGCAAGCTGGCATAGCTATGGGAGGGGAGGGAAAGGGCCAAACAGAGCTAGAGCGATGTCTGCCCCATCCTCCGTTACTTGAGGCCTTGTTAAGCAATTAGCCTGTAGCATGTTGTGTTTTCCTTTTAACTGCATTTGAGTTGTAACTTAGTGAGTGTGAATGTTGGCACCATAGCAGGATTCAGGGCTTTCAAATACAGCGGGGCAATACCCTGAGGCCAGCTCCCTCTAGAACCCAGGTACCTCTGCAGTCTGTAAGCTGCAACTAGCAGAGTGTAGCAAGGCACGCAGGGCCGTGGTGGGGTGCAGGTCAGTGCTAATGGCTGAGACTGCTGGGCTGGGGCTTGCTTGGCATGGTGCATCTCTACCTGTAGCTGTATCCACCGCCAGGGCAGAGTGGGAGAGGTACATTCCGTCTCTCTCCATATGGCACTCGTATGTACCATCCTCTCTGACCGGCATGTGCCACGTCTAGTGCCAGTCAGACCTGATACGGGCTGAGCAGGCATCCAGGCATTTAAACACACACGCAGGCGGTCGCCTCCTCGGGGAAAAGTAGTGCATGAGCTGCAGAGAGTGAATGGATCCGGCTCCAGGTTCCCTGTGTTGACCCAATTGCCAGTCGGGGCTGTGGGGAGCTGGAGTCTTCACAGGCAGCAAACCAATGGCCTTTAAGGTACAGCAGGAAGCAGCTTGGGCCCATGTGAGACGAGGAGAGCAGGGAATGAGAAGACTGACGCCCCATTAAAACCGGCCCTGCGCACAGCAGCTGGGTGTATCCACGCAGCAGTCAGCAGGTGTGATCGCAGCACAGGCAGACATACCTGAGCTACCCTTAACCTCGCTAGATCAGACCAAAGGGAGCGCCGCTAACAATAGCCGTGTAGGGGCGGCAGGAGCACGAGCCGGCCTCTCGAACACAATGCTGCCCAGGACCCGGGTGTGCATTGGAGAGGCTGCCCCCTGCCGCAGGCGCTAGTTGTTACTCGCACAAGCTTTGCTCTAGCTAGAGCAAGGTCAGCTCAGGTATGTGTGCGCGTGCTGCCGTCACACCTCCTGGCTGCAGGGTAGACATGCCCTGTGGGGGAGCTGCTGCACGTATTCTGGGCTGCCACGGGGCTGCGTTACGTTAGACCGGTGGAGCTGTACATGTTCCCACAGCAGATCAGTCCCAGCACTGGCAGTGTGGTTATTTTCTATTGAACGAGCCTGTCTGGGCTTTTCACCCCCCAGATGCCAACTCTCTCTGGCTGAACTTAGGCCCTTGATATCACTCCCAATGAACCCTGGAAAGGCTGTTGAGTGCCAGTGGCCTTTACCCCATTCCTGTGCTTTGCCCTGCCCTGCGAGGGCCCTTGGCAGCTGACTGAAGCCACCCCAGAGCCAAGTTCAGAGGTAACTTGTTTTGTGCCTGTCAAACATGATGCGCTCTTGAGAGACAGAGGGCGTTCTCCCATAAACCCTGGAAAGAAGTAGCATGTGTTTGCTCTCCTTGGGGGAATCTGACGGAGAAACCTATCACATGACCCTTACTCCCCTCCCCGGGTCCCACGCACACACATTCCCTTCTCCTCTTGGTGATAATCCCCTCTGCTGATTAAAACCCTGGGCTGCTGGAGAAAGGCAGCGTTTCCGGGGTAGTGGTGGCAGGCCAGGCATGGATGGCAGCAGGTGTTTCTTGGACTCCGCTCTATTCTCTTGTGTAATTTGTATGAACTGTAACCATTGGTTGCTATAAGGAAGAATAATTAGTAATATTTATGTATGTGCCGGCTGGCACTCCAAGCCTCGAACTGCAGAGAAAGGAGGCACGTTTGTCATTTGTATGAATTCCATCTCTACATGCTGCCTGCTTCCATCTCGCCCTTGGCAGTGCTGTGGCATTTCCACTGGAAACAGTCCCCGCTGCCCCGTATGGGAACTAAACACTACAAGCAGAGGAAGGAAATGGGAAAGACGGGGGTGGACAGGTGTTACTGGACTCGCTGGGCCAAGTTTGGCAAGTGTAGCTGGAGAATAAGCTTCTGTTGTCTGTCACAAGCATGAGCGTGTTCCTGTATGGATCCAAGCACAGCACCCCTCAGGCTGTCATGCTCTGACCGCTCACTGCTGGCGCATCCTCCTGGCCCTGCTTGCACAAGGATTGCAGCCTCTCTCTCCTGGACTCAGTGCGTTAGTTGCCTCTCTAGCCCACTCCATCTCCTCTGAGGTCAGGAGAGACACCGGACAGCTGGTGACCCTAACGTAACACACCTCACATCCAACTCTCATTATCTGAAGCTACCAGCCTCCTTCAGTAATGCAGGACAGCACAAGGGGGAGATTCCAAATAAAGCCTTTGATTAAAAACTTTGGCTGAACCACACCAGCACTGCCTGTCTGTACCAAAGGGGCTGTGAGCCCCTCGCACCTCTCTTCTGGTTTTTATGTAACATACTGTACTTTCTTTTGTTGTGGGAACAAAAAGTTTACCCAGTTAACTTAGGCCCTGATTCAGCAGAGCACACTTCATGTGCAGTGTTCGAACGGGGCTCTCAAAATGTAACATGCTCCTTGGACCTTGTGATGGGGTTGGGACTCACCACCGCAGCGCCTCCTACTGGTGGTCTCGGGAATTTGCTCAGTCCAGTGGAGCGCCCTCTTCTGGTGGTGTCCCGCCCGTTGTCTCGCCCTTGGTTGGCATGTGGACCCGCGTCGCTCTCCGGCTTGCGGCGTCCTCTTCCGGACCACTGCCCTCCGGCAGTGCCCCTTAGTCCATCCACACCCCCTTCTGGGGGGGGGGGGGTTAACAGGAGTCTTTGCACTGGCCTCAGCGGCCTGCCACAACCCCCAAGTCTAGCCCCTCTTACGTCAGGGGGCAGGTTGCAGCCTGACTCGGCCACTGCTCTGCGGCCTGGTGCAGCACAAGGGGGTAAGGGGGGGACCCAGGCCCGCCCGCTACTCTGGGTCCCGACCCAGGGACCCTCTGATGGCAGCCTCTCGGTCCTCCTTCTCTCCCCTTGCCTTCAGCCTTCCCTGGGTCACTTTCCCTCTGACCCCATTGCACCCTCTAGGCCCTTCTACTCAGGGCCGGCAGACTGGCAGGAATCAGGCTGAAGCTCCACTCTGCTTCCCTGAGCCTGCCCAGCACTGCGCTGTCCTGGATGCTGGTCTCCTGCTCAGGAGACAGACCTTCCTCCCTGAAGGTCTGGGACAGACTGACTCTCCTCTCTCAGAGCAACCTTTTTATAGGGCTGAGCCTGGCCCTGATTGGCTGTCTCCAATCCGGGCCCTGATTGGCTCCCAATAAGCCCTTCTCTTATTGGCTGCTGGGCTGCACAGGCGCACTGGCCTGCTGCAGCCCCTTCTAGCATGGGGGTGGGGCAGACACCCCACCACAGACCTCAATGCCTTTGCCTGCAAAGCTCCTAATAATTGTGGCTCTGTATAACCATTGTTAATGGTCTGCTGTGGTAGGGTCTGCTTGTCTCAGATCCTAGGCACAGAAACACAAAATGTATCTCCCTTGTTTGCTTCGATAACACACTTGCTCCTGATGTGATTGGCTTCTCGTTTCTGTTCCAGAGGTGGTATTTCCCACCACAGCGAAGGCATGTAGGAGAGTTTCCTGTGTGGTGGACGTAAAGGAATGTGATCAGAAAGAGGGCCATATAAACCTCGTTTGCCTCACTGATTGTCTTCATCTTTGGGAGAGAACTCTGTGATTCTGCCAGCCTAGCTAGCCCCATGTACCGCCTCATTCTCAGGTGGCCTAACATACACAGTCCAGTGCCCCTAGTTCAGATCAGATTTATCCAGCCACTAACACCAGTGCACCAGAGTACAATCTTACCCATGAAAGACATTGTTTAAAAAGTCCAGGCTAACCAGCTACAGAACCAACCAGGGTTAATTCAGTTTATGCCAGAAACAAATGAGCAGAGATGGGCATGTGAACCTTTCGGCCTAAAGCTACAGTCACTATGTTACACCTTCAGAAGAACAACAGCACTTTTAAAATACTCACCCAGCGTTCTGGCCAGTCAGATAATAAGATGCCGTGCATCTCAGTAACTCCCAACCCTGACGCCTGGGAGCAGTGCAGACTGCAGTGAGGAAGTGGAGCCTAGGAACTAGTATTACTCCTGATGTGACCGGTTAGCACTGTAGCCGTTGTGCTCTGCTCCAATCGTCCTACACCTACACGGGCCCTACCCCGGCAGCGGCACACGCGTGGCTCAATCTGTGTATCTGCACAGAGCCCTGTTGGCGTCAGCATACAAGGTGATCTCTTGTGGGTGGCGTTTGTGGGCAGTAAAGTCCTGTGGTTCCGGTGCACTCAGCGTTGACATCTTCCCATCCGAGGCTCTGAAGGGGCGTGTCCCGCTGTTGCATTGAACCATGATGTGCTTGTTTTTGACATCTCTGTTTTCTTCTCTTACAGAACATTTCAGCACAGAAGTCAGTCTTTTGCAGCTGATCGGAGATCCCCCACCGGAGCAAATAACCAAAGTCAATGGCCCCGACAACACTCTCGCCTATGTCTTCGGGCCGGATGCCAACACTGGTCAAGTGGCCCGGTACCACCTGTCTAGCCCCTTTTATAGAGACTTCTCGCTCCTTTTCCATGTTCAGCCCACCACCGACAAGGCCGGCGTGCTCTTTGCCATCACAGATGCCTCGCAGACGGTCATCTATGTTGGAGTGAAGCTCTCCGCAGTGCACGACAGGAAGCAACAGATCATCTTCTACTACACGGAGCCGGGCTCCGAGAGCTCATATGCAGCTGCAACATTCTCTGTGCCTTCTCTAGCGAATGAGTGGACTCGCTTTGCCATCAGCGTGGAAGATGACGAGGTGGTTCTGTACCTGAACTGTGAGGAGTTTCGCCGGGTTCGGTTTGAGCGCTCTCCCGATGAGATGGAACTGGAGGATGGGTCTGGGCTCTTTGTGGCTCAGGCTGGAGGGGCTGATCCAGATAAATACCAGGTAAGTCCCCCACAGCCCAAAAATCACAGGTTCCAATGACATCAGGAGCATAAAATGGATAGGGAGAGCAGGCGTGTGTGTGTGTGTGAGAGAGAGAGAGAGAGAGATAGTGAGGGGTGTAACTTGTTTTTTTGTTTAATTCCTTTTTTAACAAGACTACAGCAAAAAAGCTGATGGTGAAACCCTGAAACTTGGCCCAGACGTGGTCCTCATTGGTGGGGCTTTGCCTAGATTTGGGGGTCAAAAGGGTTTTATATTTAACAGGCTGTGGCAATGTCCTAGTGAACACTCCTGGGAGAGCATGTATCTGCATTTCTCAGAAATCGTTTACAATGGGAAAGTTTGCATATCATTTCCAAGAATGGGAGCACTAGCATGTGGAATGGAATGCAAGTGGGATTCAGTGGCGGTGCTCTATTTCCGCAGCACCTAGCACTGCTTTCCAAGTCTCTGACAGAACGAGTGCATGCCCTATCGTGAAGAGCCGTTTGAATCTGCGCTCTTCTAAAAAATACTTCTCCTTTGCTGCCTGTTGGCTTGGCTAATAAAATATTATGTGTTAGCTGGAAAATTTTAATGGCACCAAAGTCTATCTTTGTTATCAGATATTTGACTATTTGCCAAAATAGTTGCAAATACATAGACAAGCAAGGAGAGCAGGTGATTAGTGGAGACATGTTTTTAAAACTGATGGCATTTTAACAGGGTTATACAATGTTGTAAATGAAACTCTTTTAAACCTACGTGGAAACATTACCGTGAGAACAGAGCACAGTTGTTTCTAACAACCAGTAGTGCTTGCAGTTAGAATTTTGTCTTAGATTGAACTCCTTTCACGCAGCACACAATTGTACAGGAACAACATATGCTAAGAAAAACTATGATTGATTGTTTTTAAATTTACTAGTCTCACAAATCATAGAATCACAAAGTTCCCTTGTTTCTAAGTTTAAAAATTATTTGAACTAGTGACTATAATTGCTACAGTTCAGACCCGAGAGACTTAATGCGGGGAGGGAGGGAGGTCACTAAAGTTCCCTAGGGAACCAGAACAGTTAATAATTATTGGTCAGCCTGCTTGTTCTCAGGTTGCCCTGGAGTGGGGAAGTTAATCTTTCACGTTTTAGTAAGAGCCTTGAACCCAGTATTCCTGGTAGGTGGCAGGTGTTTGCTTGTTCGGTGCAAAAGCATGATCAATTTGGAAAACAAGGGTTCTAGAGCAGAAAAACAGCATGTGAGAGAAAAAGGATGTTCATGAATTTCTCCTAAAAGACCAGGAACTGTCCCTACCCAGAGCTGTCCCGCAGTGCTGTGGGGAGAAAGCTTTACCCTGGTGAAGGGCGCAGGGTTCAGAAGGGTGTTAATACAAACACACAATACGTCTCCCCAGCAACTGTCACTGGAGTTGCTGACTGATACTTTCCAGCCACTGTCCGAAGTGAGCGTTGGCAGTGCTGGCGGGAGATGCCGAGGGATGCCATTCACAGGAAACCTGCCCCGGTTCAGATTCATGGAGCGGTCCCAGCTGCGGAGTGCTATAGAATGGGATTTTCAAAGGAAGCCTAAGGGAGTGAGATGCTCACCCCATTCTGGTCCCTGTGCACCAGGCGTATGGGCTGGAGAGGTGTCATGGGGCCCTAAAGCCCCAGTAGCTGGCTGTAGGAGGATTCCCCCAGTGCAAGCACTGCAGAAACAGCTGGAAGGGACCGCCTGAGTTCTGGTGGAGGGGGCGTGCTCTGGTGGGCTGCAGCACCCTGGCCTGCATACCTGGGGCAGCCCACAGAGGCTGCCCTAAAGCAGACAGGGCTCCGGGGCTATCTAAGTCACCCCAGGGCTTCTCCAGTCCTTGGAGCAACCCAGGATCAAGCACGGACAAAGGTGGCTCAAAGCCCCCTTAATACCCACCCACACGCCCACCCTGGGACGAGCCTCCTAGAGGCCTGGGAAAATCCCCATGGTATAGCCAGCTCCTCCCTACACCCCCAACAGAAGGTGTGTCTCACAGATTTAGGGTCAGAAGGGGCCATTCTGCTCCTCTGGTCTGACTGTCTGTGTAACTCAGGTGCCTGACTCCCATAGAGATGCTGACAATCCAGGGCTAAATCCCACTAGACGGGAATGGGGCAGTCGGACAATTGGGCATTAGTTATTTTATTGTTCAATAACTAGCAAAAATAATTCCTTCTGGGTAATCAGTGGGAGTGGGGAAACGCACTGGGCAAATGCCTGTTCTATGCCTGGTTAACTCTTTGTGGCCTTACCATGCAGTCGCTGGGGGGGGGGGAGAGGAGCGTAGGGAATATCCATAGCGTAAGCTGCTTTGGACACAGTTCCCAATCCTACACTACAGCGTTTGGTCGACACAAGGCATCTTACCTTGACCTAACTCTATACGTGTCTACACTACAGTGTCGCTCCCGCAGATGTAAGTCGCCCAGTACACTGAGCTAATAACTCCACCTCTGCGAGAGGCCTAGCACTTAGGGTGGTGTAGTCATGGCAATGCAGTGTCCATGTAGACACTGCATTATTTACATCACCTGGCTGGCAACCCCGCATGGGGTTCAGAGCTGGAGTGGCCCCTCCCCCGCCATGGGGCTGACAGCTTGAGCGGGGGGCAGGGGAGCCAGCTGTCAGTGCTTCACTTCAGTGGGTGGAAGTGCTCCTGGCGAGGATGCACACCACCGAGAGAAGGAGGGTAGTGTGGACATGAAAAACCACAGTAATTACTGTAGTGGCTGTACTTAACTTAAGTTGACTTAATTTTGTAGTGTAGACGTGCCCTAAGCTGGAAGAATTTGTGTAGTGCTTCTCAGTGGGAGACATAACCTGCCTTGTTGCATAGATGGATTACAGCGGGATGCTCTGCTGTTGTACACAGCAATGGCAGGATGCACACACTGGTGTGTGTGCCTTTCGTAGACCCAAGGCCAGAAGGGGCCATTGTGCTCATCCAGTCTGACCTCCTGTACAGCACAGGCCAGAGACCTGCCCCAAAGTAATTCCTAGAGCAGAGCTGTTAGGAAAACAGCCGATGTTGACTTAAAAATGGTCAGTGATGGACATACCCCTGGGTAAATTGTTCCAATGGCTAATTACTCACTGTTTAAAAAAAAAAAAAATGCTTTTTTCCCAGTCTGAATTTGTCTAGCTTCAACTTCCAGCCATTGGATTGTGTTAGAGCTTTCTCTGCTAGACTGAAGAGCCAGTTATTAATATTTGTTCCCCATGGAAATACTTACAGCCACCCCTCAGCTTTCTCTTTGTTAAGCTACATAGATAGACTCAATGAGCATAGTCACTACAAGGCAGGTTTTCTAATCCTCAGTCATTCTCATGGCTCTTGTCTGAACCCTCTCCACTTTCAACATCCTTCTTGAATTGTGGACACCAGAACTGTGCACAGGATTCTAGCAGCGGTCGCACCAGTGCCAAATATTGAGGTAACCTTTCTGCTGCTATCCAAGATTCCCCTGTTTATGTATCCCAGGTTTGCATTAGCTCTTTTAACCACAGCATCACACTGGGAGCTTGTGTTCATCTGATTATCCACCAAGACCCCCAAATCTTTTTCCTGGGAACCCATGATTTTGAAAGAGTCCCCCATCACGTAAGTATGGTCTATCTTCTCACATGGAATTTAGCCAGGGACGTGTCCAGTGTTATGGGCACTGCCAGAAATTTAATGATGAATTCCTGAGTTAGCATAGTCGGGGGCTTACTGTTAGTAAGTTCTAGTGTTTTATGAATGTTAAGGGGCCATATCTTCTCCCCCATAACTCTGTGTTAGCAAGGACTCCAATCTGGGAAGACTTTCTGATATAGTGAAACTGGGGAAAGATACCAGCCTGGCTAAGCAGCCTCTCTTTAAATGTTGTCTGGAATACGATTCCGCTGCCTTCATTTGCAGAATGCTCCCAATGAGCAGCCATTTAGAGGAGAAACCCTGAGCAGAGATTTCAGGCAGGGTGTTTAGTAATAGATTATTGATTTGGAGTCAAAAATGAAAAAATGTAAGGAGCGTTAATCTGTGACTGTCTTTGACCAGGAAGGATGGTGCAGGTGCATCGCCTGAAGCAGCTTATAAAGTGCACAAAGCAGTGTGATCATTACCTAAACCATCACAAGGAAAACATTCTAGATCAGTGCCTTCACGCTGGTTCTCAGAGTTGCTGGACTCTAGGGGATTACTTCTTTTTTTATTAGCATTGCCTCTGTTGAAGTTTGTTTCTACAGAGACTTCTCTGTGCTGTTAAAGTGAATCCAAATATTTATTCCAGTGTCTCATCCAGAGTGACAGATGAAGTGGAAATAACTAACTTTTCATCTTCAAGTTAATTTCCAAATTTATGGGGCTAGCGACCCTTGTATTTGTGATATGCTTTGTGCCTCCCACTGAGATCAAACCTGGGTGGCATTTCTCCTTCAGCTGTCTGGCCTCTGGGGTTGGTGCCAGTGAACTAGGCACTGAATATATAGTATCTCCAGTGGGCTTACTGCTTCTAAGGAGCTGGGGGAAAGTTGAAGGTTTATTTGCTTCTCATTGAATCTGAGGAAGGATGCGGATTTATAAATAAAATAAATAAATTAAATAAATAAATTAATGGAGATATCCTATCTCCTAGAACTGGAAGGGACCTTGAAAGGTCATCGAGTCCAGCCCCCTGCCTTCACTAGCAGGACCAAGTACTGATTTTGTCCCAGATCCCTAAGTGGCCCCCTCAAGGATTGAACTCACAACCCTGGGTTTAGCAGGCCAATGCTCAAACCAGTGATTTGTAGCCTCTGTCTGTGTGGCAGCTAGGTGGGCATTCATGAAGTTGAAACGCATTAATTACAGTTCAGTTTAAAAAATGGAAAATAGTTTTACTCAATTTAATTCAGTCAAAAACTAGATCAAATAAATGACTTCAGAATCATGCTCCTGAGCGAAGCAAACATTTGACTCGCCCTGTGGGGAACCAGCGAGTGATCACATTGCAGGGTGGCCGGGACTTTGA